TTTTTTATCCATTCAGCCCACTTATTTCTCTTGATTGGGAAATTTAAACTGTTTCACATTGATTGATAGAATGGATATACAGGATGCTTTTCTGTTCATTCAGTTGGGTAGCACTTTGTTGCTTTGTTTTACCTCTTGTATCATTGTTGTTGTGTATGAGCTTTAGCTTTTCTGGTGTGTGACCATTGTGCTGATCTATGTATAATACAATTCTGAGTATTTGCTGCAGGGCAGGTCTGGTCTTGACAAATTCTTTCAGTATTGGTTTGTCTGGAAGGATTTCTGCATTGGGGGGAAGGTAGTATGGATTCTCTCCCAGCTGGCTACATTTCAGAAACCCAGTTTTCTAGCATCAGGTCTGTCCACGTGGGCCTCCTCTCCACCTGAGTCTAGCTCCCTGACTTCCACACTGTGTCCCTAGTAGCAAGTGAGTAGAGTCTTGGGTGTACCAAGTCGGCCTACTTGTCTGATCTGCATGTGTGTGGCTCTGGCAAATGCCAGCGGGCAGGGAGCTCCCAAATCAGGCACCCTGGGTCCACTACAGGCCCCCAAGTGGAAAGGTGTGGCACCCGCTGTCCATTGCAACATCAGCCTGCAGCACACGCCCACTGGGGGAAGCAGCTGCTTGCCAAATTTTCAGCTCAAGCTCCACTCCCTGTTGCAGTGGTTGGGAGAGGAGTCGGGGAGTAAACATCTGAATGGAAGAAAGCCAGCTCTCCGGTCTCTCCTGATGCTTTCCTTGAAGGGAAGCCCCATATGGAATGGCCAAGCTCCAGGATCATGCAAGATCTCACTATTTCATGTTGCCACCATGCCTGGACATGTGGGTGTAGAAAAGCCTTCAAGAAACTTAATAGCGTGCTTGTCTCCAGGGTCTCATGGAAAGGAGAGAGGGATTCCCCCCTTACCCTTTCTCTGGATTCTGAGCCTCCCTGGATTTGATCCATGTCAATGTAAGATACTGGGCTATTAGGCTAATGGCCACTTTCAGCTTCTGTTTACTGCTTGTTTGCTAACCACAGGGCATTATGGGTGCATTATGGGATGCAGAGAAAAAAACCGCTGAAACCAGAGCCTCTTGGCTAAGACCTGGAACAAGTTAGAGCCTAACAGCCGCAAGATGAAGTAATAGGCTGGGCAGATGCCGTGATCAGCCTGGGCCCACCAATCACTGTAGAGGGCAAATGCATGATCAGTGCATATACAGGTTAGGTATAAAGGCTCACTCACATGGGGCGGGGGCGGGAGCGGGGGCGGGTGTCCCTGCCAAAGGAGAGGCCACAGCACGGGCACTCTTGGGCTTGGACTCTAGCTCAAGTTAGATGATAAAACTCCTTTTGATAATTACAGCCTCGGTGACTCTGTCTCTCTGTTCCATGGCCCTGCGGATTCCGGCTCTAACATCAATATCTTTTTTCTTTTATCTTCTTCTTCTTCTTCTTTGCTTTGCAGTTTTCCTCTGTGAGGTCCCTGGCAGGCTCCAGCACCTCTCTCTACAATCTACACCTGATTTACATCTCTTCTCCCCTCTCCTTTATGTGAAATCCGTTCTTCCCACGGGTCCTGTAAGTGATGTCTTTAGTCAGCCATCTTCCTTCTCATTCCTAAACCTGCACTTCTAACTTAAGGCAAGTTCATTCTTTTTAAATTTAATTTAATAAATTAATTTTACATTTTCTTGACAATAAATTTATTCATTGGACTTTAGTGTGACCTTCTGACACAATTCATTATTTATCATTTATGTTTTGCCCACTTCCAAAAAGGATATAAGAAAATTGATGACATTAAAAACACGCAGAGAATGAAAAAATAATACATTATGAGAAACAATAGAAAATCCATGTAGTAAAGATAAAATGTAGAAATAATTATGCCATAAGAAACTAGTCAATTGGAGGCTATTTGAACAAAATTTCAATTTGAGCTTCCTGGGAGCCAGGAGGAAAGAAGAAGCATGATGCTTTTGTAGAGCTTTGATTTGACAAAATGATAATATGTCTCCTTTCATTTTGTTTTAGGAAATTTTCATCTAAAACACGTTTTATCAATGTTTTAATGACTTTACTTTTTTCTTTTATCTGTTTTATTAGCATGAACCTCATAAAAGGAATTAACCATATAAATCATAAGTAAAATATAATAAATAGCATAAGGCATGAAATGCTTTTTTAGTCATTTTATTGTTTGTTTTTATTTTAATGTAAATATTTTATTCATATTTTTATGCATATCCTAGATAAAAGTAGTGACATTTTAAAATCAAATTATTGTATGTAACCCTATAAAGGTAATTTTGTGGAAAGCTATGGTAATAAAATGTGGATTTGTAGCTTTCTGATGGTGTATAATAACAATTAGAATGTAGATAGCAATGAATAATTATGTTTTATAAAATGGATACAAAAGCAGAAGTAAAATACACTTATAATTTCCTGTGAACAAAGAACATTTTTCTGTCTAAACATATAATAAAAACTTTTGTTTGATTTTTAAAAGTAGAAAATTTTTCATTAAGAGCTTAATACTTGCAACTTTCTCTGTGTTAACACATTTAGGTAAATTATTATAAAATGAGAAAATGATTTTTTATAATTCTGTACAACTCAAAATATTCACACAATTTTTCAAAAGTTTAAGACCAATTATCATAGTGGGGGGAAAAAGGATTTTAAAGACATTATTTAAATTGTTAAGCCAAAAAAGGAGTTTATGCTTCCGCTATCTGCATTCTCTAAAAGCTGCCATAAGAATAAAACCTCTTCTACCCTCCTAAAATTTCATGTCAATTTCTCACATGTTTTTAGGGGTTGGCTTTGGTGACAGAGCTAGGAAGTTTTCAGTCTTACTACTTCTACTAAACATTCTCTATTTTCTATCCTTCCATTTATTACCCTACTCCTAAAATACAAGCTTTTTGCCATCCTCAGCATCACCAGAGCTGCAGTCCTTACAGGTCACCAGAGCCTTTTTCTAGGAGGGTCTTTCCCAAATCCCAGCTTTACACTTGACTGGTTGATTGCCTGAGTCCCAGAGTAGTCTCCCATGGCCTTCTTGAAACTTTATCTTCCTACCTCCTCCTCTCTACCTCCATACACGTTTTTCTTTCCTTATACTGCTGCCTCTCCACCCATTATGGAAACCCACATTTCTGTTCTTGATAACTGCCATTTGAACTTAGTAGCTTTATTAAACCATCTACTTTTATTTCTTTTCCTGATTATTTCTAAATGTAGAACTCCATTCATGAGTTCTTCTTTGTCTCTGTGTCTGTTCTTAGCAGCTTATGAGATAATTCTAAATAAGGTGAGCTGGTATTCAATGTATCCAACAGTGAAATTACCTCTTTCCTTCCAAAACAAACACTTCTTTCAAACAGCTTCATTTCAATCAGAGGTATCAGCATTATCAATCTCTTAAACTAGAAAGCCCAGATTATTTTTTTCATCTCTTATTTAAAACTCAGTTTAATATTGACATCAATTCTTTCAAATGTATCAGAATAAAATTCATACAACCTAATTTAAACCAAATCACCACAGTTGAGCTCAGAATTTATATCTCAAATGCAATAAAAACTAGCTCATTAACATCCAATTTACCCTTTTATTTCATTTTATAGAAATTCTATTCACATTCCTGTAGAGGTTATTTAGGATTTTTTTCTCTATATATAATCTTATAATCTTCATTCTACTCTATTTGTTAGTGGATGATCTCAGGTACTACTATACAGAGAAGATGGACATATGGGACCATAAAAGAAGCAATGGCCTTGACTCTCTCAGGCACTCATCAGGGTTTATTGGTCAAAGACTGGACTTTGGAATAAGACCATGTTATATTTAAATACTACAAGTTATGGAAGCTTAAGCATTCTTATTCCCCAAATGAGTATATTTTCAGTGGTATTCCTCTTACCTGCAGTATTATGTAGTTGCTCTTATCTTTTAGGAATGTTTTTGGCAATGAGTGGTGATACGTCACCCACCGAGGGAGTCTTAAACAAATGAGGGTTTGTTTTTGTTACATGATGTGAAGTCTGCATGAGCAGTTGCTGGTGCTGGTTGAGTGGCTCAGTGCAGTGGCCCCAGGTTCAGATATTCTTTTGGCTGACTCAGAAAGAAAAGGGAAGGGTGAGGAGGAGTAACAGGAGAACAACAGGCTTTCCAGGCAGGAGTCACACAACTGACTTTCACTTCCATGTTATCATTCAGAACTCTTACCCAAAGCTCCTCCAACCGAAAGATGACTGGGAATGGGAATTAAATCAACCAATAGTATCCATATCGTTCCTTCTGTATATCTGAATTGTATTGACTTTTCAACATTTACCTAAGTCTCAGCTCTCCCATGAAAACTTCTCCAACTGCTGCTTACCACATACATCTCTAATCTTCGTAGATTTCCATTTCAATTACAGCAGCCTTCTGAAATAGATCACTGATATTTTTACAATCTTATATTTTTCACTTAATATTTTGTCTTCTCGAACTTCAAATGTGCATTGAAGATAGAGGCTGTGTTATAATCCTCTTTTCTGTCTACACAAAACAGGGCACTGTGATAGGCACATAGTGGTACTCTGTATGATTTGGGCTTGGGCAATTTGGAGTCAGGCAAACTCAAATCTGAAATTAGGAACCACTAATCTCTTATTGTGTAATCCCAAAGAGGAGAACTTTTGCTTCTTCCTCAATAAATGTGTAAAAAATAAATAGTTCACAGGGAAAGTATAAGAACTCAGTATAATAAAATGCATGGAAACTGTGTGTGTGATACACATCATTTTCCTTTATTGGTGCTTGATTATAGTTTATGGCAGAAAGTATCTATGGATATTTTCTACATTAATATGATATGCAGAATTTACATGGTTAGGAGCCAAAGACTCAAAACTTTAAAAACTAATTTCTTTAAATTTCACTATAAAAAAAACCATTGTTTACCTTAAGAATAAAATATATTTCAATTTCATTTAGTACTTAGTTCAAGGCTATTAAATATATATTCACTGATTATATTTTAGAGAGAAATTTAGCTAATCATATCATAGCAATCTTTTAAAGCTAATAACTTTTTATTTTTACAATTTTATTTTTGCTACAGTGAGCTCAGGGGGTTATATCTGGAAGCTGTGTTTGTCAAGAAAGCCCACAGTCTTACTCAGAATATATTTATCTATGGGAGAATCATAAAGATTATGGTAGTGGGAAGATACCAAAATCACTTCTATAAGTTCCTTCTTAGCATTGTCTCTATTTTTTATAATCCTACAGGATTTTGTTAGTGTGACCTTTCTATTAAGGTTTTGTTTTTAGAAAATTGCTGGAAGATGGTGAGGATAATCCAAAGGTATATAAATATTATTGAGGAAACAATTGTAAAGGGATTTAAAAGGATGGTTTAAAGAAAATATCTTTAATTTTAACTAAATTTAAATCCTTCATGATTAAGAAAAATGCAAAAGAGTTTTTTAAAGTTTTATTATGGAATTATTCAAATATACATGAAGGTAGACACAATATAATAGCTCCCAATATTTTTATTATCCAGCATCAGAAACTCAACAGGCAGTGAATTTGATTTCATAGTTATTGGGCTAGTTACCTACTGCTGGCAAGAAAAAGAGAGAAGGTATAAAACCTCTCTCTCTTTATAATAGCTTAAAACAATAGACAGTTATTATCTCAATCTCTGTAGGTCAGAAATTTAGGAGCAGCTTAGCTGGGTGGTTCTGGCAGCTTGGGCCATAGTCATTTGAAGTATGACTAGACTTGGAAGATCCACTTCCAAGGTATTTGTCTCACATGGATATTGATAGGAGGCCTCAGTTTCCCACCACATAATGGCTGCTGTAATGTCTTCATAGCATGCCCACTGTTTTCCTATAGAGCAAGAGAGACAAAGGAGAGGACAAAGAAGAAGCCGTCATACTTTTTATGTCTATGTTGGAAATCATACATTGTTACTTCTGCAGTATTTTATTCATTGGAAGTAAGTTACTAAACACAACTCGCACTCAAGAAGAGAAGAATCAGTCTCCACTTCTTGAAGGGAAGAGTATCGAATGATTTTTGGAAACATTTTACAATATTTCCATCCACTTCTCACACACCATTCCAATTATTTTGGAGGAAATTCCAGAAAATACACCATTTTATCCGTATTTCAATATATATCTCTAAATGACAAAGACTTTTAAAATCAAAACCATAATATCATTCTCACAAGTGAAAAAAATTAATAATTCCTTAGTATCATCAAAGATCTAATCAATGTTCAAATTTCTTTGTTTTTTTCATAAAGTTTTTTTTACAATTAGTTTGGTTTGTTAGAATCAGAATCCTAAAAAGAACCATCTATTGCATTTAATACTTTTTGAAGTTATATTAAATCCTCCTTTAATCATCCGATTTGAAATATATTTACAGCCAAAGATAAAAGGTGGTGTTTTTCATAAGTGGTCTCTTGAATGGTATTTATACACTGTTTTGTTTCTATATTGCTTATTGTTCTTTTCATGAGAAACACTCAAGAAGCAAAGAAGCAGATTTTTCTAGGTTATCTTCGAACCTGGAATTTGTGTTGCCACTTTGGTTATACTCCTAATAAGCCACAGGTGTACACTATAGGAGCGAGTGGAAACAGAGACAGGGATATGATGATAGTTAATTGTCCATAATCTATTTATCCCAAGGAGCACTTATACATCTGTTACATATTCAGGTATTTGCTACTTGTAGTTTTTTTTGTGATTTTTGAGCAGAGAAAGATCTATAACTAAAGCACCATAAAAAGGAAAAATGCTGTCAAGGGGCTTTAAAGTATCAAGACAAAGAAAGTACAGCTTTTTGTGTCTTGTAAATGAATGGCTTCATTCATTTCAATAGGGATTTTGTTTTACATGTGCTGTACTAGGTTTGGGCACTAAACACTTGACTCCTATTTCCGAATGAATTAATTTGTTAAATGCAGGTATTTAAATAGAAAAGGTACTTTAACAATTAATTTCTTCAATAAGTACTTTCATCTTGTTGCGTAAAATATTTTATAGTGTTCTGTTCTTTCATTAATGTGTACGTATGATATATGTAGGTGTGTGTATATATATGTAATATATACTCAAAAATATTAAAATAGCTCATAAAATTTATCTTATGCCTATTTTTGACACCTATTTTGAGTCAGATGTTTTTCATTGTATTTCTAAATTAATTATGGTTTTCGATCTCTATTAGCAACAGTGAAAATTTTTATAGGTACAATTCTAGTTAATCTTGCTTAAATGATATTCTAAATGTTCAAATAAAACATTTGAAAAGTTCATAGTTGACTATATCCTAGCTGCATATGAGAAATGTGGATTTAATCATATATTGAAAATTAATATTTTAATGAACCATTTATTTAGGAAAGATTGTAAATATTTTAAACATTCTTTGCAGGTGGTTGTTTCTCCAGTCAATGATATTCCCACTTTTTCATTAAAATACTAAATTTTATGTTGCATTTTCTATATATATTTTTTATGTTAATAAATGTCTAACTAATAAATTGCTTCATTATTCATGATTATATGCATTTGCAAAGATTTACTATGACAAACTTTCTGTTGCTGATTTTTGCCTGTTATTTGATGAAATGTTAAGAATATAATTACTAGTAAATTCAAACTACTGTTCAACTTTATTTCATAAGGTATAATCATTAATTCCAAAAAAAGTACACAAACAAGACTCCTATTTGCATCTGGCATTAAACTTTAAGAGCTGTTGACTTTGTTATCTGGGTCCAATTTTTAATGCTTACTGTTAAGTTTTCGCCTTTCTTTCTTTTTCTTTCTTTCTTTCTTTCTTTCTTTCTTTCTTTCTTTCTTTCTTTCTTTCTTTCTTTCTTTCTTTCCTTTTTTTTCTTTCTTCCTTTCCTTTTTTCTTTCCAAACCACCAGAGGATGATTTCCTTAAGAATGTTCTCTCAGGTATGTTCAGAATATTAATTAGGCCCATCTATTTCTGTCGGGTAATAACAATGTCCATGGGCTGAATGGATGCTGTGACCTGTGAAAGAACTATTCATATGCTTTAGTCTGCCCTGGCACATTCTTTAACAAGTGAACATAGACCTTTTTCACAGTCATCTTAAATGTTTCAACTGTGTGTTTCATGTTTGCTTCTTGTATCTCCAACTATATAGCTTTTCTTCCTCTTTTGGGGACGACTTCCTTGCACTACTCATTTAAACACTTCTGCCTTTATGAGGATTTTACTGCCATACCTATGAGGCTTCTTACTGTATTTGTCTGTAACAGAAGGAGATTTTAAAGAAATTAAATTTATACAGACTAAATCTTTTGGGGGATGCAAAGACATCTTAAACAATTAGCAATAATTAAAAAGCATCTATTCACACTGGATAAAAGGTAAATAGATTTCATTTAAATATAGCAGTTAGTGGGGATAGTTTTTCCATTTGCATGTGTTTTTTTTAACCTTCTGTTGCCAAATAACTTCAAAGTAAAAGAAAGAATTGACATTTGTCAGTTTGTATAATTTTTTATTCATGATTTCTACTAATAAATTACTCCCTAAAAATTAATTTTCTTTAATTTAGAGAGTACAATTAACACTATATATGATAGCATGAAAATGATTACTGAGTAAAATCTAGGCTTTTTAAAAAAAATCTTAATGTGTGACTGGCTGAAAGATCTATGGTTACTTAACTTCTGATATATTCCTATAGATTTTATTCTGATATTTATGTACTTCAAACTAACTATTTTTTGGCTACCAAAATGGTTAAATGTTTAACTATTCTAGAAGTCCTCCTTAAATTGTTCCAAATTAGGACTTGTCTTATAAGTGGTCAGAAGAGATAGTTTATATTTTTACTTAGAAACATTTATAAGCACTTGGTAGTATATGTATAAATGTAGTGATGCATAAAGGTATTTATTTATACATACACATATGAGTACATGCAGAGAGAGATCTGTACAAAAAGCAAGTACACACAAATTCTTTACTTCTAGAAATGTATGGTTTAGTAGACTGTGCAATCATATATGATGTGTTTTGAGGAGGACACAAAAGAAGGCATATAGAATCTTGACTATATCATTTGGTCTTTTAGTGATATAGCTCCATTCTTCAGAATTTTAAATGGAGTCCTATTTTATTTTAAATATGGCCAGCTAACATATTTAAAATATGACAACCAGCCTGTTGAAAAAATATGAAATGAATGAAATGAAGTCTAAGAAAGAGAAAAAAAACGACAAGAAATAGTATAGAAAATATTGAAAAAAATGTAGCAGTACAAAGATATATTTTTGCAAGGGCTGCCCAAATTCAGTCATTTAATGATAGTCAATAATATGTATAATGGTTTTGAGTGCAAAAATAGTAGCATTAAGATTAGAGCATAGTGTTACTGAGGTTAAATTTACAGATTTGGTAGCCTTTAATACATACAATTTCATTCATGTATAACTGCCTACTCTGTCATTTTGCAAATGTGTCATAAGAAAAAAGTAATCAGAAATAAAACAGAGGAAATCTATAACCATCACTAGAGAAAAATAAAAATGAAGATAGATTCACTTGATAATGATGGTGGGTTGGTTGTACAATCTTTATACAGAAAAGAACATATTGTTTGAAAGTATAAGTATTCTCAGCTTTGGGGAAACAAAGTAATTTTTTGCATCATGATGAACTGCAGAAAGGATAAGCTTTAGCCAGAAAAATCTGGGTTCAGAAAATGGTTCTGCTTATACATTAGATGAGGAAACTTCACCTCATGAAATACAACTTTTTACAAAGAAGATAATAATATGTTCCTTAAAGAGTGAGGATTGAGAGATAACCTAAGGGTAATAACATAATAAAGTAACAATCTCAGGGAAATGAAGCATTAAAATTTTCATTGTATCTAGTCTCATGTAATATTGCTAGGTAAAAAAATTACTACTGTCTAACTACTGAAAAATAGCCCTCTTGGCAAGATGTAACAAAGACATAATAAATAACTTTAATGAAACTAAAACACCATATAACACAAAAATCAAATCTACAGTGTTTGGACTATATTTAGAAAGTGAGAATTCTAGGGCTATCTCAGTGTGTAAAGTCCCTCCTACCTGAATGTTGTATTCCTTTCCCAGCATGCATGGAAGGTAATGATCTTATTCTGCACTTATCTAATAATTCACATAAAGGAAGACTAGATTATTAAACATGAAAATTGTGTCAATCTGAATGTAAGCTATGTCCTTAAGATCTGGACACAGAGCCTGTAGATGATCAGGTAAAAAAAAATATCTTTATGAAAGAGAAAATCTTACATGTAGTTTACAAAAACTAATACATATAGGTATGAAATAAAATTTTGGATGGCAATCAATCAAGATTTTGTTTTCTCTTTAAATTTTTATTTTTATTTATTTATTTTTTTGAGACAGAGTCTCACTTTGTTGCCCAGCCTAGAGTGAGTGCCATGGTGTCAGCCTAGCTCACAGCAACCTCAAACTCCTGGGCCCAAGCAATCCTACTGCCTCAGCCTCCCGAGTAGCTGGGACTACAGGCATGCGCCACCATGCCCAGCTAATTTTTTCTATATATATTAGTTGGCCAATTAATTTCTTTCTATTTATAGTAGAGATGGGGTCTTGGTCTTGCTCAGGCTGGTTTCGAACTCCTGACCTTGAGCAATTCGCCAGCTTCTCGGCCTCCCAGAGAGCTAGGATTACAGGCGTGAGCCACCATGCCTGGCCTTCTCTTCAAATTTTTATAAGAATACAAATAAATATGGATGCAGAACTGCTTCTAATAATGTTGGAGTAGGCATTTGGAGTCAACCGTTGCACAGAGAATAACTAGTAAGACTACATAAAACATGTTTTAAAAACCTGCTTGAAAATATCAGAGAACTAAAAAGACAATGAAGACTCATAAGGGTACAGTTCAGGAAAAGTAAGTTGTATTGGGAAGATGTTACCTTTGCACTAGAACCATCTGCTGGCAGGCTGAGAAGTTAATAACCTGATCAATACTTTTAACAGCTTCCAAACTAGAAGGATCAATACTGGATTCCAGTGTCTGCCAAGAAAGAATATTTTAGTAAACACCCTCATAAATATACTCTGAAAAAGGACCCTGTGAAGCTATTATCTAGGAATAAAGGGAAACTCAAAGTAGACTCTCCATGGGAGGTGCTAGAGGTTAGCTTAAAAACATGAAAAAGTCTGAATGTAATTATGTTATCTGGGATTGCAAATGTCCTAACTACTCACCAGGAGCAAAGGCAAATTCTATTTTGAAGATTTAATTAGTACTACAAAGTTTCATATAAATGATTAACCCTTAATAAAAATTAAATTACATATACTGAGAGAAAATAAATGAATGAAAACCAAGGGAAACAAGATTCAATAGAAACAGATTCATAAGATGTCAAAGATAATGGAGAGATGTATACTGTAACATATTTATGGTCATATGTTTAAGAGGATAAACAAGAAAAATTGAAAATGTTGTCAGAGAACTTAAAACTTCAATAAACAAAAATAGTCTAGCTGTAAAAATTATAGTAAATTGCATTAGGAAATCAGTGGAAGATTTGTTAGTAGTTATAACATAATTGAAGAGAAGGTTCATAAACTGGAAAATAAATAAAAAGAAAATGTGCAGAATGAAATCCTAACAGAAAGAGAAAGGGAAAATGGGAGACATAAGATGTAGATATAGATATGGATAGATACAGATATAGGTACAAGTACAGAAAGAGATACATAGATAAGCAAAGAGAGAGAAGGAGAGAGAGATCCCTAGAGAGAAAGAAGGATAATTTTCCAAAGGTTGACATGAGACATCAAGTCACAGACTCAAAAAAGTTTCACAAAATACAAATAGAATGGCACACACATGCATACACACACACACACACATACGCATCTGTACAATCATTTTAAATGTTCTGAAAACCAATGACAAAGAGAAAGTATCCAAAGTAGTCAGGGAGAATGGTGGGTGGACATAAAACCTACAAAAATCAACAATTAGAGTGACACCTGAAATCTCAGCAAAATCATAGAAACCAGAAGATAAAATATTTTGAAATTGCTGAATAAAAATACTTATCTGCCTAGAATTCTATTTCCATGTAAAGTATCCTTCAAAAATATGTACACATTAAAGACATTTTCATAAAAAGAAACTATGAAAAAATTCATCACCAACAGAATTTTACCAAAGGAAATCATTCCAGATACAACTCAGATATGCAGAAAGGGACCAAGAACAAAGAAAGAGATAAAAATATCAATAAATCTAAATTAATAAGGGCTGTATAAAGCAATAGAAATAGTGTCTAAAATATGCAGAGAGCATATAGTGTTAAAATAAATGGCCCAAATAACATATAAGTTAGGAGGGAAGTAAATGAAGTGAAAGGGTTATAAGTTTTTGCATTGTCTAGAAAGAGATTTATTATGTTCAATAAAGCTGTTATAAAAATTATAGAGGAAAAAACCCCCTAAAACTAAAAGCAACATAACTAAATATTAATAGTAACAGGGATGATTTAGCTTCTTTGTATTTTTCTGCTTCTTTTCAAATTTCTATGAAGTAAATAAAGTGAAAGTGTTAAAAGTTATTTTCATTGTACAGAAAGAAGATAGATAACAAAGTTTCATTAGACTTTGATAAGTCAAGAATGACTGCTTTAATTCTAGGGTAAACACTAGCATCGGACAAGTAGTGTATTTCTTTTCTTTTTCTTTCCTTTTTTTTTTTTTT